GGCCATGGAAAAATGAGCTGGAGCACCATCATGCTGGAACCACATTTGTTGCCTCTGATTCAAAGGAATGTCTTCCAAAAACTCATACAGTGTGTTCTGCAGAAAGTTGAGGTAAGCAGCGCCTGTTAATCGGTTTGGTAAAACAACAGAATCTAGAAACCTGTCACCTACAATACCCATCCAAATGTTTAATGAAAAACGTGCCTGATGTCCAGATTCTATTAGAGCATGAGGATTTTCGTCGGCCCAAATATGCGTATTGTGAAAATTAAACACTCCATTTCTTGTGAACCCGACCTCATCAGTAAAAAGAATGTTTGCAAGAAAACGCAGGGTCTTCAGCATCATGACGTAGAAACCAGCGGCAAAAAACCAAACGTGCTTGATAATCATTTATTGCCTGTACTCATTGCACATGGTATGGATAAAGCAGTTGCTCGTGAAGGATTCTCCAAACAAGAGGACCACTAATTTCTACCTCGGCTGATATTCTCCGCACACTCGTACCTGGATTCTGCTCTACCAGTGCTAGAATTTCTTCTTCTGCTCTAGGAGTGCATACCCACCTTGGTCTTCCGGATAAATGGCACTGTTTGCTCAAGAAACCGGTATCACGCAATCTTTGGTGAATTCCTCCAAACATGCGTTGTGAAGGAATCTGGTGATTTGGATAAGCGCCAACATAAAGACGTCGCGCTTCGGTGGCGTTCCCATTAGCACGACCATACATGAAATGCATGTCTGTTAATTCTGCGTTAGAGTAACCAGCCATAGCGAAAGAAAACTTGTGCACTGAGAACTACTGTCAAATGCGTACTGTTTATTTCACTAAACATCAACCAACTATTATAAGAAAATGCACAACGTTTTTGCAAAATAAAAAAGGGGCTAAAAACATAAAACATTTCATATCTCCGCAAGCGTTACTTTGCGGACCCATGTTTATTGGGATTTTTCTGCTTATTTTGGTTCATACTATTACCTCCTTAAATATTTTACACTCTTTTTTTAACACCCTGTATTTATCCTCCCCTATTGCACAAGTAAATTCTACATTAATTTATTATTTAAAATCGCTTTCCAAGGAAGTTATTTGCTTAAAATCTGTGCGTAAAATTTATAAAAAAAAATACTCATGTCCTTAATTTATTTTTACTCTTAATTTGACATTGGATGCAACATGGCGGATGGGCGGGATTTAGTCGCAATTGTCGTCACTGTCCTGTAGAAAAACTAGGAATTTTTCAGAACATATTGTCGGGGCACTTTTCGCGAGCATCTGGCAACACCGATACGTCTAATTCATTGTTTGCAGAATATTTCGTTAACACAAATTTCATTATGACGAATCGACTTCTGATTGTCGAACACGGTCGACTATTATCGTTCCCACAGACCACCGACTGACCTACCTAACCAGCGCGAACAAGTTTTTCACAAGGAAGTATCGTTATTATTGTAAGTCGCCGACTTTATTAAATTTACATACCCATTGTTGGGCTGCCTTTATCGGAACGCCGTTCGCAGCGCCACGTCAAAACATGTCACTCAGAAGTGTTAAAACGCTGACCTTAATTAAATCGTATTATCGCAAGATCTGACGCTGGCTTGGGCATTCATTAATTTTTTTTATCATGTAAATAAGGCTCGCGCGGCCGGTCCGGGAAAAAAACGCATTGTCGCCTGACCTTACCTAAGATTTAACCGTACGGACCGTTTGCTGGTAAGCGATCGCTATCTCTGAATCAGACGGCCCCATACTGGAATGTTGGAAAAACAATGTCTCAGTGTTTGTTTCCTCGGATAATGGAATTGGTGTAGTTTTTTGTAAAGCTACGCACACTCAAATGACTTGCAATTTTATTGTTTTGTTCCTTTTTTTATATTGGAAGTATAGTCTTGCATGTGTAATGAACAAACAATACCTTTAGCGTGTCAGGACATTGTTTAGGCCAGGAAAATAAGCTGGGAAATAACCATTTCGCGACTTTTTGTTTCGGCAAGCTGAATTTATCACTATAGATGCTAAATATCATGCACAATAACATATTAGTTTCCACAGTCATAAAAATGGGGGGAAGATTGTTTACAGGGTGGTTAATTCTATAATTTTTACGTATATTCACACGTTTTTCGCTTATAACTTTTTTCCGTTCATTTCCACGAGAAAACAGTAAAGTTCTTTTTTTTTCATATTCAAAAGACCTACAAAACTAGCCCTCGAGCGTAAAAAAATATTGATTAGATCAAAAGTTATAAACAGAAGAATTTTATTTATGACTTTTGAATTAAACATTTATAAACTGCGTTATTATTTATTACCAGAACGATTTGGCACCGCATCCTCTCATTCCTTATCACTGTCTAATAACTCACACGAAATCTGGAATCGGTAAGTTGAACAGTTTACAAGTTATGGCCTTATAAACAAATTAACTAATTATTAGTCTGGACGATCCCGAGGATCTTCCACAATCGCACTGATTTTTTATGGTAGATTTCATAATAATACATTGAAATCTATCATTTTTTTAATTTCAAATTTGCAACCTGGATTTTTTTTTATTTTTTAGCCCTAGTTGCAAAATGAAATATACGACGCACGAGCGTGATATAGTTATATATTATTATATATTCGGAAAGCTTATGAAAAGAGCTTTAAGTTAAAAAAAAATCGTCAAGAATCGTTGAAAAACAACGGAGTTACAGACTGTCAAAATTGACGGCCTATTGTTAAACAAATTAGGTTGGTAGCGGCAAAAAAATACTGTCATAGCCGGTAACCCGAGTACTTTCACAGGTAAAAATATTTTATTAGTGGAAGTAAGTATGTGCATAAAAAATATTGTAAAATGTCAGTGGGTGGGGGAAGCGAACGATAGCGAGTCCGAAGAAAATGACGATATAAATATTCATAGTCTTGCTGTTAAACAAGCGAAGTTCGCTTGAAAATAATATATTTGACAGTCTGTAACTCCGATGTTTTCCAACGAATCTTGACGATTTTTTTTTTAACTTAAAGCTTTTTTTCCAAATGACCGCATCATCAAATTTTAATTATTAACATAACAATGTGTTAAATCTCAAAATTGTTGTCAAGGTGTTAACGAATTAAGTACACAAAATTGGAGAGTATGTGAAACATGTTGAAATATGATGAAAACCTTAGTAGAGTTTTTGTCAGTGGCGGCCCTTAAGGAATATACAGCCCTTTGAAGGGGTAACTCAGGAAACAGTTTTTATTGCATAACTTCAAAAACGTCTAATATTAAATCACGAAATTTTTTTTGTACTCATTTTTTTTTACTTCCTGAACCGAAAATATGAAAACCTATCATATTTTGCATAAAAAAGGTACTCTTGTTAGATTTTAATAACATGAGCCGTTTTCTAGTAAAATCCATCTCAATAATTCATTACTTGCCCAAAAATTCCTACTGCAAAATAAATGTATCAAATTGTGCATTAAAAAAATTATTATTTTTAATTTAATTTTCCTTTTGCACTATTAATATCGTTATTGTAGTTGTTATGTAAGTGTTACTAAATCAGGGTTTAATATCACAGTTAAGTAAATAGTTTTGTAGTAAACAGTAACATAAATAATTTTGAATAATAAAATGTTGGTTAGGTATCACTATTAAGTATTATTTTTATTTGAAAATCAAAAAATACCAAAAAAAGACCCATCAATAATTTAATCAATAATTTAGTTTATTGTGTTTATTACAGTATCTAAATTCAAATGTCTTAGATTGAAATATTGAGTAAGTAATCTAATCAGTAATTGACATATACTTGACACCTCTGTTAAGTGTCATAAATAGTAATTTTCTCATGGCACAATTTGATACATTTATTGTCAGCAGGAATTTTTGACCACGTAATGAATTATTGAAATGGATTTTACTAGAAAATGGCTCATGCTATTAAAATCTAACAAGAGTAACTTTTTTATGCAAAATATGAAAAATTTTCATAATTTCGTTTCAGGAAGTAGAAAAAATTGCGTACAAAAAAAAATTGTAAAATTTACCCCATGGTCCCACTTTCTTACGCTCCTATAGCAAATTTTGATTTGTATATTATGCCGATTATTAAGCATATAAACAGTAATACAACCCCAAAATTTCGCAATTTAATATTAAACCGTTTTGAAGTTATGCAATAAAAACTGTTTCCTGAGTTACCCCTTCAAGGGGTTGTATCACCCTTAGGGGCAGCAACTGACAAAAACTCAACTAAGGTTTTCATTATATTTCGATATGTTTTATATACTCTCCAATTTTGAGTACTTATTTCGTTAACACCTTGTATATCTATTATTATTTGTGAAAAATGTGTTAGAGTTTCAAGGACATCATGAAAAAATTATTTGATTTCAGATTCCAGGAGGCCACCATTTAATTTGTCGTTCAAAATTCTACAAATTTTGCTCGAAACAATTTTTATTTGATTTTATCAAGTTATTCAGAGAAAAATTAGTTTAACTTCCAAATGTCCCGCACAAGAAAAATTTTCTGATGCCTTATTCAGGCGTAAATTTTAGCACTGCTGCCAAAATAGGGTATTCCAGTTAATATTGTCAAGTTGACATTGGTTTGACCTTGAAAATTAAGATCGATATCAAATCCAAGGTCACCAGTATATTAGTTTCTTCGTATCCTAAAACTTCTATCTTGGTAGGACTCGAATCTTTTTGGGACACTCTGTATCCGTTGTTTATTAAGGTGCTATAATTTTAATACAAAATACACGCGTAGGCGCAGAAAAAAGTTTTGTAATAGTAGAGATACTGTTTTTACGCAAATCTATAATCCAAATGCATTGTATTTCGAACAAAAATTGTAGGATATAACCGCTCAGTTTTGTGTATGAAACTGTGAAACCATTTTTTTATTAACAGGCTAACTGTCTTCCAAAAATATTATCTATTTAGGGAAACATTTCAATAATTCTCCCTTATACATAATATATAAAATATTTTTTTTTCTTTTCAGATATTCCTAAATGCAATGTGATAAGCCACCAAGATATCAGCCTGTCCTTATCAGACCCTACACGATCTCTCACATCCACAGCAGCACTATTAGCCCTACAGAGGATAAAAGATGCATCCTTGTAAGTATAACCGATGCCTCTACCAGGTATTTAGCTTCATTCAATTTTCTAATATATCGGTTAACTCGTCATAGTTTTTCAAACCTGGCAAAGTCTCATCTCCGTATAAAACCGTAAATTAATTGAGGAAAAGATACTATTGTCGCGGAACGTTGTTTTGAGTAGATCCTCAGGTATTCGTCCCTGGTTAACAACCTGCATGGTACCAAGGTAGACGTTCGTACACGCGTCATGCTGGGTCCGCAGGGGTCGTGTGGTGGTCTTCGCCTCAGCTTTGGATATTTTGTGTCCGCGAAAACTACCCGTCTTGAACGGGTCATTGATCTATAACCGATTTTTGTGATTTTTGAACATGTAGGCCAACTTTCACTCTGATTTCGGCTCTTGGGGGGGATTTGTACCGCGTGAATGATTTTTGGAAGGTTTCTTGAATTGAATTGGAAACTGCAGTGAATTTTCGGACTTTCACTGTGACGCTATCTTTAAAATATTTTACAGACCATAAGAATAAAAATAAGTAAAAACAAATGCTGTTCTTTTATAAATTGGTCACATGAAGAAATTTAAACTAGTACTTCCTTTTTGATACAAAGCAGGGCAATTTCGCTTTTCTATATTTTTTTTATCTATTTGTTTTCAGATCGATTTCCAGAACGCCGATGTTGGACTCGTTACCGAGCAAGTCGAACGCACACAATAACAACAACATCTACGACGACAGCAGAGGTCCGGATGTGACGATACGCAGGAGAAAAATCCATAGGTGCGACGTGGCGGGTTGCCACAAGGTGTACACGAAAAGTTCTCATCTAAAAGCGCACAAAAGGACACACACGGGTAAGTCGTTTTGTACCATGGTTAAAGAACTGAAATACAGGGTTGATGTCTGATTCTGGAGCAACGAATTTATCTTGTGAAATGTTATGTCTTTCGAAACGTCAAGAAACCTAAACCGACGCGACGGCGCGGCGCGGCGTGGCAAACAACCCGGAAATTGTTCCACCAAGCTATTTTTGTATAATAATAAATTTAATTTTAACTTTAAAATAAAATTAAAAGGGGACGCACTGTATGTATTCAGGGTGTTTTTAATGAAGTAGCAAAAATGGTACCAGCGAATATAGAGCCAAAAATAAGAGGATTGAAGTAAAAATACCTTATATAAAGGTTGCACCCCTGAGGCGATATACCCTCTTAAAAGAGGGGATTGAAATTCACATTTTAATTTTTTTCTTTAACATGAGGAATGCTAGAGACACGAAACTTGGTATGAACATCCTACTAATAAAGAGACAAGTTTTCAATATTTTTTCGATCATTGGCGTATTTTATAAAGGAGTGAAACAGTCAACCCCATTGCAATATTTTATTAGAAATTTTTTATATGAAGAAAATTATTTATTTAAATATATTTATTGGGAACTGATTTATTGCGCAACTTTTTTACCTCTTATAATTTTTCGATAAGACCGATAGTTTTCTAGTCAAAAAATTAGACGCGTCATCGTTCACTAAAGGGGTAAATGCGAAAATTTGTAAAAATAAAGTAGGCGTATGTCATAACAAATAAATTGTTATTTATCATATTAATAAATTGACACTTTCTGTGATTAAGCTGGTAATTTAATAATAACATTAAGAATAATTTGCTATTAATTAATGAAAAATGTTTAATAACTTATGACTATGGGACATGTATTAGGTAAAGTTGTTTATCTGAAATAAAATTTAATACAAACGAAAAACAAGAAATGCAAAATTAAATTTAAAGAATATTCTCGAAATAATTTCCATTTTGCTGCAAGCATAGCCTAATACGTCCGTTGAAGTTATAACGCACTCGCACAAACAGTTCTTGGTTATTGCGAAGATCATCTGCTGCCTGAAATATTCTTAAGCGTAGTTCTTCTAAGGAGGCAACAGGAGTGGCATAAACAATACTTTTTATGTGTCCCTACAAAAATAAATCCATAGGCGTTAGGTCAGGTGAACGTGCAGGCCAACAAACAGGGGCATCACGACCACGACCAATCCAGTGATTGGGGTAATTTAAATGTAACCATTATCTAACGGCAAGTGTACTATGTGCAGGCGCCCCATCGTGCATATACCACATCACCTGACGTGTAGCGAGGGGTACATCGTCAAGTAATGTTAGAAGATTTTCGTTTAAAAATCTAAGATACTCGTCCGCTCCAAGTCCGTTTGGAAGAATAAAAGGACCTACTAGAGTATTTCCTACAATTCCCATCCAAACGTTTAAAGTGAAATTATGTTGACATCTTGAAACAAATATTTCATGAGTATTTTCTTCCGACCATGAATGAACATTATGAGGGTTTACTGCGCCTACTCTAGGAAAATTTGCTTCATGGGCGAAAAGTATATTCGTTAGAAAATTTAAGTCATGCCTGGAAATATTAATATACCATTGACAAAAATCCACGCGGTTAGGTAAACCAGGATCATTCAATTCTTACACGGGTTGATGGTGAAAAGGGTATAAAAGATTTTCATGAGCTACATTCCACACAAGACTGTGAGAAACTTGCAGTTGCCTGGACACCTGTCTTGTGCTTGTACCACAGTCTTGTTCTAGATGTTCCAGTATAGCTTCCTCAGCTTCAACAGTTCGGACATTAGGCCTTCTTCCGGCACCCTCACGATTGGGCTGAATTTTATCAGTTTCGCGAAGCCTTCTTTCCACCGAGACCAATGTTTGTCTATGAGGAATCGGTCGGTTTGGATATCTTTGGTGGTATAATCTTACTGCAGCGTTACTATTTTTACTGGATTCGAAAAACACTTGGAGCATGTCGACATGTTCGTCATTGGTAACGGGTGATTCATTTAGAGGTACTTTTTTCAGTAGCGAGTTTAAGACAGATCACGCATGAGTCGAGTGAACTGTCGTGGTATTTTGGTTCAATACTCTCGGACATTTCATCATGGAAAGACTTAGCCCGGCACAACGTCTACAAATAATTCAGCTGTACTACGAGAATCAGCGTTCTGCCAGGAGTGTATTTCGTGCTCTTAGAGCAACATATGGTCTACATAATCGGCCCACCGAACGCACAATTCGCTACACCGTCGAGAAGTTTGAAACCCAATTTTCATTATTGGATAATACGCGACCAAATAGACCGCATACAGCACGAAGTGCAGAAAATATTGCGGCGGTAGCCGAGAGTGTACGTGATGACCATAATGAATCAATTCGGCGCCGATCTCAACAGCTTGGCTTGTCGTATGCAACAACTTGGCGTATTTTACGTAAGGATCTTGGTTTGAAAGCATACAAAATTCAACTCATTCAAGAATTGAAGCCGGCTGACCTTCCAAATCGTCACCGTTTCAGTCTTTGGGCTCTTGAACAGCTTGAAGAAGATCCAATGTTTTTGACCAAAATTTTGTTCAGCGATGAAGCCCATTTCTGGCTTAATGGCTATGTTAATAAACAAAATTGCCGTATTTGGGATGAAGAACAACCCGAAGAACTTCAAGAGCTGCCATTACATCTAGACAAAACAACGGTTTGGTGTGGTCTATGGGCTGGTGGAATCATCGGTCCATATTTTTTTAAAAATGAGGCCGGCAGGAACGTAACTGTGAATGGCGCCCGTCATCGCGCCATGCTAACGGACTATTTGCTGCCTGAAATTGAAGCCCGTAATCTCGATGACATTTGGTTTCAACAAGACGGCGCCACTTGCCATACAGCCCGTGCAACCATGGCTTTATTGCGAGAACAATTCGATGAACAGTTAATTTCACGATTTGGACCAGTGAATTGGCCTCCTAGATCATGTGACATCACATCTCTAGACTTTTTCCTTTGGGGATACGTGAAGTCCAAAGTCTATATGGATAAGCCGAATACGATTGAGGAATTGGAAGACAACATGACTCGGGTCATTCGTCAAATTCCACTCGAAATGCTCGAACGTGTCATCGAAAATTGGAACTTCAGAATGGACCATCTCAACCGCAGTCAAGGACAACATTTGAAAGAAATAATATTTAAAAAATAAATGGCAGATATAGTTTTTTGTATAATAATAAAGATTGCACCATAAAATAGAATTTTGTTATTTTTTTTTGTTGTTGAAAAAAGTACGTCTAAATGAATCACCCGTTATAAATGTTATTTGCCATAATTATTCTGATAATAAATTAATCAATTGGTACTAATTATTGGTTGACAGAAAGTGTCAATTTATTAATATGATAAATAACAATTTATTCGTTACGACATCCGACTACTCTATTTTTACAAATTTTCGCAATTACCCCTTTAGTGAACGATGATGCATCTATTTTTTTTACTAGAAAACTATCGGTTTTATCGAAAAATTACAAGAGGTAAAAAAGTTGCGCAATAAATCAGTCTTCCCAATAAATATTTTAAAATAAATAATTTACTCATAAAAAATTTCTAATAAAATATTGCAATCATCATCATCCATTGCAGAATGGCGAATATACGCGCAATGTGTAGCTACCTTAAAATATTCACTTCACGCAGTATTGCGAAATCTACTCACTTCCCGCACCGTACGGCTTGCCGAAGCATTTTACGAGCGGAAGCAGAAACATATAATTACCGCGTTAATAGAATCAATTACCGATATCTCCCCATCTCCGCCCCCATATTGAGATTCCTTTAACACATTCGCTTTCCTGTACCCGTCAATCGCCGCGATATTCCGCGATTTTAAACAAAGAGCGTCTTGCGTGGTGCCAGTTTCCACGCGTTTCGCTTTTCCATCGCATATACGTCCGCATGCGTTGGGTTTGGGCAGTGTAATAATTAATTATCGTCATACCGATAGACGGAACTTATTTTTATTACGCTGGGTTCTCGTCTTTTTCGAATTCCTCGTGAAAGGTGAGGTCAGTTAACCTAACCCGCGCTCAGCGCCGTTTCAAGGTTCCTCGTATTTTTTTACGACATTTGTCGGTGTAATAACAGTGTAAGAAATATTTATTTAATCAGGACGGAAGTACTGTCGCCCTTAAGGTTGTGTCGAACACGCAAGTAATTAAAAAAAGCTTGTTTTCCTGGCAAAGCGTACATGGATATTGTTACGAATCTATTAGAATTATAAAATTACTATAAGTCTGTTTAGAAATGAAAGAGAGTAATAAAAGCTTATTATGTATGCAAATCGTAAATAAAATAAATAACTGGTGCTTATATTCAATATTTTTATATTATGTATTATCGGTATAGATGAGGGGATTTTAAAAAAAACTTTGTGTGACCGGGTTGTACTAAATTGTAGCAGGTAGCTAAAATTTAATCCCCGACAATCCGTCTTTGTCTATGCCGATTCAATTTCTCGGTCCATTTCTCTTATAAGTAAACAATATAAAAACAGCATTTCAAAACATGAGGCTACTTTAAGCATCATAACCGGGTTAAGAGGGTTTTAGTAATTCAAATAAAATTATTCATTATTATCAAAATATTTATTTAAATTTAATGAATAGACCTTTATTCCGCACAAAAATATATGTATTTTGAAAATTCAAATTATGGTGAGTAAATGTAGTGTTGTATAAATGTACAATAAAGAAAATAAAAAAGTAGGTATATTAAAATTCATCCTCTGAATAATCTGATGAATTATCTTCGTCTCCTAGATTGATAACGATAGGTTCCACAGTAACGTCAATTAAATTATCGAGTTCCCACATTTTCTCCTCTTCTTTTTGTACATGATGTATACATCTTTGCCAGTTATCTGTAAAATACTCTTCGAAAACATCTGCGTTCATGTCTTCGTGATAGTAACCTGTATTTTTAGATTCAAATAAAAGTAAACCGCCATCTACAAAACCACTGGCACTACCTATATGTGTCACTATTAATCTTCGCCCTTTACCTGAAGGTGCCTTGGACCCTGTTGAAAGTCCATCCAAAAATGCTTGTCGAAAACTTTTTACATTTTTATCTTGCTATACTTTTGTTACAGTATATCCCTCGTTGACCCAAGTTTCGTCTAGATAATAAATATTCCTCCCTTTGTCACGGAATTTTCTAATTGATCTTAAGTAGGATCTTCGCCAACAAATAATTTCATCTTTATCGATAAGAACTGACTTCCTGTTCTGCTTTTCCCAGCAAAAATTCAACTCTCGTAAGACGGCCCATAATTTGCTTCTACTGATTTTTGGCAAATCGTTGTCCTCTGAAAGTTCACTTAAAATTTTGTTTAGCGTTGGTATTTCTTTTTTAAAATAAAATGAGTGTACTTTTCTGCGAATGACATTTTTGAAGAAATCATCTATAACGACTTTTGAACTCCCTGTAGATGATTTTGGAGGATTTACAGTATCTTGTTCATTTTTTGTTTCCTTTAATAGTCGATTTTCCAATCCGTCATTTTGGAACACTTTTCACGATGTCGTCAACACTGTTGGTAGGATTTTGGTGTTTCAATGCATTAAATACATTTAATATAATAATCTTCTCATTCTGAGACAGCGCACATCTTTTCACGCGATTAGCAGGTACGTAATCTGATACGCTCGACATTTTACCCAAACAATATTATATCCACTGGCACAATAGTCACTAAACACAAGTCGAATTTTACTCTACTGCACTAGCACGTCTTCGTATATTCAGCTCTAAGACTGGATTGATCTGTCACAATACACTGGCTCCTGCCCTATGATGTATCCAGTAAAATATACTAATGTACACCCATTACCTGTTAGCATTAGTGTTACCCGATAATTACCTGAAACGAAATATTACCACGCTCAAGGCCGGTTCTTATCTCGGGGTTTTATTACTCTCTTTCATTTCGAAACAGACTATAAAGAGTCTGTGCAGCGCTCCGTCAGATATAGTACCTACGTCTGAAAATAAATAGATTTTACTAAACTTGCCTTCTTCTTCATCTTCATCTTCATCTAGTGGTTGGTCCTTTAAAAAGTCCCATAGCACTGCGGCCTAATTAGGCCTATTGTGCGTCCCACTACTAGTCCTATTCAGCAAGTAGATTTGTCCTTTTTACAAAGTCCAAAAGCTTCCTTGCTGACACTTCTCTCAAAACTTGCCTTAGTCCAAAATTGAATAATAACAGTTACATTTTCTTTAATATCTTTCGACTTTCGACTACTTCGAGCTAATTTCTCACGATCACGAATATCGATCCGGGGGTTTTTTGAGTTGAGAAATTCGAATTTATCGACGATTTCGACTGATAAATGAACTTAGGAGCAATCGTTTTTTAGCAGGAAATATGCCTTTAAAGGAAACAGTGCAATTACAATTTTAAATTTCGTTCATTTAACAATTTTACTGCAAACAGAATTGACAGTAAAAAACATACTTTCTAAAAATAATCTAGCACAATATAAACAATGTAACCAATCTAAACTATCTAAAAATCTAAAAAATAACTAATTATAATTGACCTGTCTTAAAAGATATGTTTTTCAATGGAGTTAAAAATAACTTTTAAATAATTTTTTTATGCATTTACAAATTTAAATGTCTTTCTGTTGAAAATGGTTGGCTTTAGAGATATTAGCAAGGTATACCGTCTTTAAGCAGGAAAGTTGGGGGAAAAGATTTTTCCAACCCAAAGTGAAATACACTGTGGCACAAAAAGTACTGGCAGTTTAAATGCGTCCTAATGGTCGCTTGTGGCGCCCTCTAGAAGATACAACGAAATCGTCGATAAATTCGAATTTCTCATCCCAAAAAACTCCCGGATACGTAATTTCACGAAATTAGCTCGAAGTAGTCGAAAAATATTAAAGAAAGTGTTATTTATTTTTTCTACTTTAACACTCTGTAGTTCCGTTATTATCAGTTTTTAGACTAAGGCAAGTTTAGTTAAATCGACTTATTTTGAGCCGTACTATATCTGGTAAAGGATTGTACAGACGCTTTAGAGACAGCCTGTATTTTGATTTGTCTGTAATGTGACGTAAGTATAGCCTCTTAATGGAACTTTGTACTTTAGGCTTTCATCTGAGCCTTTTCTCTGTTCTTTTCACTGTCTTTGCTTTGCCTTAATGCTCAACACTTTTTTATGGCTTCTTGAAGTGCTGATTTTTGGCCAATGAGCCACTTATGTCGACCACAGATCTATTATTATTCCAGGACGACTGAACACTTGATATATGATCTAATTCTAAGACTTGACTCAAAAAAATTAACAATGTTTTGAACTGAAAAAATTTGCTCACTTGAAATATACATTTTAATTGCATAATAATACATATATGTTTAAAATATATGAATGAGTGTAGGTATATAATACAATAACCATGAAAGCTTATACGCTTACTGAGTACTGGCAGGAATATAGCTGGGAAATACCAAAGTCGACGTTCGATCGCACGTCAGGATGGCTCCGTCAAGTTTTATGAAGACCGCAGCAGAAGTTGGCAGAGCTACCGATATCTGACTTCTCCGGATTTGGGTGATCTCTGCTGTTACTTGAACCGTTCGTGGAAATTGGCTGGCTGTTAGATTAGCCTAGCTCGACTTTCGGAGCACTTTTAGCGTTTTTGCCGAAAAATTCGAAAGTGGGGTGGTTTTTTGCGCATCTCGTATGCCGTCGTCTATCTCGTCGTCTCTAGCATCGAGTTTTGTTACACCATTCTTTGTGGCTATGGAGTGTTGAGAACTGTATAGAGGTTCAGCGGTTGGATTCGAAACATCGTTAAAAATTTCGATTTCGACAAGGTTCAGTTTTAAGAATATGCTGCACTGTCTAATTGTGTTTTGAGCTTTTTCGGGCTCTGCAAACAACTTCTGGCTCGAATTAGAATCCTTGTCGATGTTCTAAGTCGCTTGGGACTCCTCACAAGGCAAATAATAGGCTGTTTATAATTTCTATATGCATTTTGTCAGGGCTTGGTCAATAGGAAGTGTCATTTTTACTGAAAATGCTATTTTCACCTTGTCACAAAAATCAAAATGCCGTATTTTTGGTTTTTTGAATTGAAACGCTAGATTTGCATGAACTATCTTCTATTAATTGTTTTGAACACGTCTAAAACTATTTAAAATAAACAGATTGGGTACATTTTAGTTAGTACACAGCATCATCTTTGACAAAGACTACCACTCAATTAACCACAATAGATTTGACCTACATATTGTTGTACTTTAAAAAGATTGGAAAAATAAAATATGATTTATTCACTTACGCACTGCATTACATACAGCAATTTTTTGCACAATACTGTAAATATTTAAAAACGTGTTTATTGCAGGAGAGAAGCCGTACCAGTGTTCCTGGGAGGGCTGCACTTGGAAGTTCGCCAGATCGGACGAGCTGACCAGGCACTACAGAAAACACACCGGCCAGAAGCCGTTCAGCTGCAACCTATGCCAGAGGTCGTTCAGCAGATCGGACCACCTCTCGCTGCACATGAAAAGACACTAATCTTAAAGAGTAATTATGAAACCTTAGCGAATTTTTTTAACAAAAATTTTAGGTAATTGTATCGATATCTATGCGGTAAAACGCGTTTATTCCAGGAAAAAAGTAACTAGGAGATCGTATTTTAAAATAGTTCCACTAAATTTCCTAAAACGAAGCTGAAATAACGTCGACGAAAACCGTTGATGAGGAAAACTATTGCGGAACTGATTCCAAAAGGTGCTAAATTCGTGTAAAAATAACAACCAATTTTTACTTTCATGCATTTCAGTGGTGAAAAAAAAAATCTCTACTCTTTCCATCAAGTTCCATACCTTTACGCGTCTTTTTGCTCTGTTGGGAATTCTCCTACTCGACCCTTTTTAGCAATATTACGTTCTTATCTATATCCACATCATGTTTATTTTCGAATATTTTTAAATTTTTAAATTCACCGAAGAATGGAACACCCTGTACGTTCTCTATATCTTTATCATCCGTCGTTACCTGTTTCGAAATCGGCGAAATAGCACTGCTTTGTTAGAAATCTATTTATATAACAATAACCAATAGTCAACCATGTGGTCCATCTATTAATAAAAGTTTGAGTGACAGACTTAAAACTTTTTTGGTAGGCACTAATTGCTTGGTACCACAACGACCGTGACTAAAAATAAATTGTCGATATAACTGCGGAAAATTGTAGCAAATCGTCGATTTAAAGTGCATGCGCGTATACAGTTGTCAGTTTAAAGTGCATGTGCGCATACATTGTCAGTTTAATGTGCCATTTTCAACTAACATCAAGTTGGCAGGTTGATATTAAGTTTAATTCAGATGAACGTAAATTTCATCATATGTAGCAGTTTAAAGTGCTATTGCAGATAAATGCCGATTTAAGGCGGTAACTTCACATAAATGTCAATGTAAAATTGTACATAATTATCACTTTAAAGTGCAGTATAATTTTCGTTTCGGAGGCGTAACTGAAAGTGCAAGTTTCACATAAGTGTCTATTTAAAGTGGCAATATGGCACTTTAAATCCTTATTTGTGTATTACTGTCATTTTGGTGAGGCATTTTTTGTATTCCATTTCATATTGCTATGTGCCAAATTAAACTGTTTATGGAGACAGTTAAACGTCAAAGTCCGTTTAAAGTGACATGTATATATAACATTCAGTTTAAAGTGGTAATATAAGTATTGCCCGTTAAACTAGCATGTGTGTAATTACATTTTATTGTAGTTTTTTATATCATTTGCAGCTTAAATTGGCATGGCATAATACATTATTTAGAAACAGTTTTACACTCGCTTAAAGTGGCCACTTTAAACTGGTATTTGCTTGTAAATGTCATTTTAAAGAAATTATTCAATATCAACGTCTATTTAAAATCATAATAGTACGTATTTTGTATAGTTTTCACTTTATAGTGATGTACCGTAATAAATTAATTAAAGATGCAATTCAACAACAACTCCTGTTTAAAGTGCATATACATATACAGTTTGTCAGTTTAAAGTATCATTTTAATTAATGTTGGCAGGTTGATATAAAGTTTTAATCAAACGAACGTAAATTCCATTATATATAGCACTTTAAAGTGCTATTGTAGATAAATGTCAATTTAAAGTGCCAACTTTACATATGTGTCAATGTAAAGTTGTATAGTAGCATGTATTTAACTGTCACTTTGAACTGCCAGTATAATTTTCATCTCAATACCTTAGTTAAAGTGCAAATTTTACATAAGTGTCGTTTTAAAGTGTCCATATGGCACTTTAAATCGTTATTTGTGTATTATTGTCACTTTGGTGAAGTATTTTTTATATAATTTCCATTTCATATTGCTATGTGTCAAATTAAACTATTTAAGGAGGCACTTAAACATCAGTCTGCTTAAAGTGACAATTATATGTAACATTCTGTTTAATGTGGCGATAGGTGGTATGTGTGTAATTGCATTTTAATGTGGTTTTTTATAAAATCTTCGGTATAATAAATTATTTAGAAACAGTAAATTTTACACTTGCTTAAAGTGACAGTTTAAAGTGTTCATTTCATTTTAAAGTGACCACTTTAAATTGTCATTACGTATGTTAAAGTGGCATTTTTCGTACAATTTTCACTTTGTGCGTCATAATTAATTAATTAAATATGCAATTCAATACTAACACCCGTTTAAAGTGCCAGCTATATGTGATCGGTATTGTAATTGTTTAGTAACTTTTTCTATATTTACACTTTAAATTGCCCAACAAGTAAAAGTTTAAAAAGTGCTACAGTACGAATTTAAAGTGCCATTTTGTCTGAAATGCCACTTTGGAATGGAATAACATAATTGTATAATATAAAGTGCCACAAATTGCATTTTAAAGCGGCAACTAACCACCAGTCGATTATAACGAACAAAAAAACGCAGCCACTGCAAATAGCAAATAAAACGAAGCACATCAAGTGGGCGGATGAGGCAAGGCCTCTCACATAATAACTTCGTCGATTTTTTAACCCCATATTCAAATGGGCCGCGCTCATCACACCGCAAAAATAATGGTTGTAGATTGTGTACAGAGCTTTATACGCAACAACCGCGCCGCTTATACTTCACGGCAGACATGGCTTAGGCACAAAAGAAGTCATGGTTTTGATATGTATCGCACTGACATGTATATCAGTCGGCGCGATTGACAGTCTCAAATGGGTGAACGGTAGCCACACAATTGCTAAACGTGTTGAAATAAGAAAAAGGCTTCATTTCCATACCATTTACTATGATGGATTTCGGTCATTAGCGTTAGTACGGTGTTTCGCTGGCGAGCGTAAGCTGGTCGACAATAGAAACGTAAAATATCGATCTCGATCTCGAGCAAAAATGTTTACGAAAAAAAAGTTAAGTTAGTTTGATCTAGACATAGTGCAGCTTTGTGACCTTCCTGCCAGACTATAGATACATTCATTCGAATGCTTCGACCTAAGTTTTGGAAACCTTTTCATTTTTTTTTTTTGGACTAGAAAGTGATGAAATTTTTTGTAGGTACACGAAATATTCCGTCTAGAAAAAAGTCTGAGTGCAGAGAATGCCATTCCCCTTGGACTTATCATTTTGAGGATTTCAAAAATTTTTTAGTTGTTTCATGTATTTATGGGCTATTGATTATATCCAAAAAAACAGGAATTATGACGTTCAAGCAATTATTGCAAAGGGTCATTTTAGATGAAAATACCGCGGAGTACTATTAAAATAGAGGGTGGAAATTGGAGAGAGGGGTAAAAATGCGCCCCTTTCAGTTTTTTAATTGTATCTCGAAAATGAAGCAAAACTTCGCTATAGTTCATAGGAAAAATTATTTAGAGAATTGAATTTCCCATCGAAATATCTTATTTAAAAAATTTAAAAGGAAAATTTTACGCAAAAAAATCGTTAATAAACAATTTGAAAAAAGCAAAAAATTCGATTTTCTGATTTTTTTACTTTTTTGCCTCTAGCTTTTTTGAGTAAAGATGGATATAGGCATTGCTTTATAGAAAAAAAGTAGACAAAATTTCCTTCAAAACAAGAGGTTGTAAAGTATTTAAGGATGAAAATTGACTGACATCTGGCCGCTCAAACTTAGCCAATTTTTCGATTTTCGTCGCATTTTTTGCAAAAAAGGAAGGAAATAAGACGTTAAAGGCTTTTCATCTCATGACTTGTTCGAAGGGTCATTAAAAATGAAAAAACCGCGGGGTGCTATTAAATTAGAGGGTTGAAATTGAAGATAGGGGTGAAAAAGCACCCCTCTCAATTTTTTAAATATAGCACGAAAACGAAGCAAAATTTCGGCATAGTTCATAGGAAAATTTTGGAGAGAATTGAATTTCTCATCGAAATGGCTTATTTAATAAATGTAAAATAAAAATTTTATGCAAAAAATCGTTAATAAACAATTTTAAAGAAAGCAAAAAATACGATTTTTTGATTTTTTTTACTTTTTTAATAAAATAATTTAATAAAAACTTGAGAATTTAGGTACAATAAAGTTTATTAATAATGTATATACAGTGTGTTCACGGATGGAGTTGACAAGAGGAAAAACTCTTTTGTTTTTGACTTTATCGAAAAATGTCACTCTCTCTTTATAAAAAGTTCAGCCCCTCGAAAAAATGAGACTGTCATACAATCATCTTAGATTAGACATACAGGGTGCCCATAAATTAAAAAAAAAGCAGGAAAATACTCGTGAGAGAAGTACCATTATTTATTATTTTACACAACATTTTTATACAACAAATCTGTTTATATACTCAAATAATGTCGTAATACAAATTTTAAAATCAAAATTTCAATTTTTGAGATGGGAAGTAGCTATATGTATAGAGTAAAAGTCAGAATTGAAATTTTTATTTTAAAATGTGTATTAGGACATTATTTGAGGTTATAAACATATTTGTTGTATAAAAATGTTGTGTAAAATAATAAATAATGGTACATCTCTCTTGAGTATTTTCGTGTTTTTTTTAATTTATGAGCACCCTGTATATCTAATCTAAGCTGTTTGTATGACAGTCTCATTTTTTCGAGGAGCAGAATTTTTTATAAAGAGTGACATTTTTCGATAAAGTCAAAACCAAAAGAGTTTTTCCTCTTGCCAACTCCATCCGTGGACACGCTGTATATATATTATTAAAAAACTTTATTGTACTTAAATTCTCAAGTTTTTACTAAATTGTTTTATTAAAAAAATTTAAAAAATCAAAAAATCTTATTTTTTGCTTTTTTAAAATTGTTTATTAACGATTTTTTTGCACAAAAATTTTCCTTTTAAAATTTTTAAATAAGCTATTTCAATGAGAAATTCAATTTTCTAAATAATTTTTCCTATGAACTATAGCGAAATTTTGCTTCGTTTTCGAGCTACAATTAAAAAACTGAAAGGTTTAAAATCCTATATTCAATAGCCTATTAACGTTTTCTTTTTTGTATAATCGTTAAAAATACTAAAAATAGTACTTTTAACATCGTATCTTTATACACAATATGTTTTCCTTTGAACCATTGCATGATTTTCTTGAATTTTTGTATTTGTCGACTATGGTAAGGCGCGTTATCCATGACAATCACTCCACATTCCATTTTCGATGCGAGGCAAACTAGATGTTATCCATTTTCAAGTATCCTCATGGCAATCTCCTCTGTTCGTCGCGAATCGAAAACATTTATTTTGGTTATTAAGACAAGGCTTATTTTTGATCCTCTTCAAATTTCACTTTTTATTGCCGGCCAGTTTACGTCCGATAACTGTACCAGAGGCTTGTCTCGGAAATTTCATAACATGTCATCATTCTGCTGCTTGGTGCGCCAATTGAAATGCATGCGAGTAGACTGGGTTGCTTTATTCGAACAAATGTTAAAGTTAAAATTGCGTTACCTCTATTATTTATTTTACTGTTGTAGATAGAAAATGTGACGAGAGTCGACTTGCCCGAGAAATGTAAATAAATCGTATTTAGGTTGTTGAAAAATGATATTTTGTTTCTGTTTTATCTGAGGGAACGCTAAAAATCGTTGGATGTTTTTTATATCAAATTTATGTACATAAAGTTATTATTTTTGTAAAGATATTCGTGTTCCCTTTTTCGTAGGTTTAAGGTTAAATCTAATAATGGAACAGGTGCCAGTAAAAGGTCAGATTTGTATCGCGAGAGTCCAAATATTTTTTATGAGGATTAAATTGCGGGGAAAATATGAGAAATCGTTCTTCAATTCGGTTTTAAGAGCTAAAATATTTAAATTAAAATGAAAAGCGCCTCTTTTTTATTACTCTTCGTAGCGAAATTTTTAAACTTTCTCATATTTCTGCGCAATTTTTTGTGCTAGCAAACCCCTATAATAAGCTATCCCTACCTAAGTGCAATTATTTTTAGGATAAAAAAAGATCAATTTGTACGATTCTTGTTAAGTTTACATAGATATATTTTTAATTATCATTAATACTATTTTATACGATTTACTATTATAAATACGTTTAAGTAAAAAAAAAAATGAGATGAAAAATGTGTCCTAAAGATTTAAAAATAGAAATATTGCAAAAAATGCCTTTTTAGTGAACCTACAGTGAATACAGCTGGGTATTTTTCTCAAACATACTATTCAAATAACAAAAATTTAAGTAAAATTTGTTGCAGAGCATTCAGAGATGGTTACAAGCCACATGACCAGCAATTTTGTTTGAACCAGAAATTTTATTGCTTTGGCAATTAAATTTCATTAAAATTAAAACAATATTACATTTAAAAACACATTTTGTTTCACCGACTGTGATTCGTGTAGTTTTTCACGAGATTCTATTCAACCAACGTCAACGGTTTGTCATTGTTCATTGTAAACGAAAAATTCGCCAAGATTTAGAGGTTTTTCGTTATCTCTTGCAACTTTGGTTGCCTAAGCTTGACTGTCACGTGGCTCGTAAACATTTATGAGGTACCTGTACCTGATTTTAAATTATTATACAGCTGTATTCGTACGTAGCGTTTGTAGCTAACTTTTAGTGTTAATTTATGTAATTAATTTAAAGTAATTTATGTAATTTTTGCCAGTACTAGGGGCCAGTATATAATATAGTATGGTAGTGTTTAATGTATCTTCCTTTTATGTAATTTTCGGATCTCTAATTTGTTTAGTCCCGTAGATTTTAATGTAAAAAAAAATGTATTGTTTAATAATGGCATTCGTTGATAGGGCATTTATGAAGTCAATTTTTAGACAATAATATCAGAAATGTTACTTTTTATTAAAGGGATATATATTTATTTAATGTTATTAATTAATAAGTTGTTTAAAATAAAAATATGTGGAAGGGTTAGAGTTGTTTTATTTCATAATGCGCTTGTAAAAGCAACAGCATACTGGGACCAGTATTTCTTGAAAATACCTCTTCGATCTTCTACGATCCTGTTAAAATAGTGTCCAAACTCCTACAATGATTTTACTAAATAAATTCATATCAAATCTTTTTTTGGTATCAGGAGAATATGAAGTGTACAAGGTATGGGGCACAGCATCAGATATGGTTCCAACTGTACCTTTTTTTTAATAGATATGGTTCCAAATATACCTTTCTCTGTTCTACCAAGCGGGGCAAAATACCTCTTTGACTTTTTGCTATCCTGATCAGGAGGAAGGAATTCTCACAAGTTATAAATGTTTTACCAAATAAATTCGTACAAAATTTATTTTTGGTATCAGGAGAACATGACGTAAGGGGCATTAAGGAAAAGAATACATGCTTCAAAGTATTTATTACAAAATAAAGAAATACATAATTTATTTACATAATCAAAAATCATCAAAGAGTGAATCTGTATCTACACCGTCCAATAAATTTTTCCAGATTTCCGTGTGTTCTTTATTATCAGGCTTCACACAAATCTGTTTCGTGGCTATAACTAGACTATCACAAGTTTTAACACCCCCATCTACTTTCTTATCGCTATTAAACATGGCGTTTTCACTTACACCTGTTTTACTATCGTTAGGACTACTGAAATGTTTCTTATATTTAAATTTCTTCTTCACAGGGCTCTTATCTCTGTCCACATCAGTTAGAGCGGTACTAAATTCCTCGCGATTTGTAGCACAACTATTACTAGTACTAACTGCAACAGTTGATATGTTTTCACAGCTTCGATGCGGCTTACGACTTATATGTGATAACAATAAGTTACTACCTACAGAAGAACTGTTATCGTTAGGAACGAAGCTAGTTCCAGCATCATCAGAGCTATTTCCAAAAGGAATCTTCCTTTGCTTCTCTTGTGAGTGGGTTAGAACGTCCTCATTATATTTGTTCAAGATCTCCTGCACATTATAGTCTTGAATTATAACTTTTTTAATGGAATCCCTGCTTGTATTTTCGCCACAACTATATTCGTTACACAATTTTTGTAGTACTTCGCCGCAGTATATCGATATCAAATTGTTAGGAGTTATCGACAAACAGTGGTTGTTGTGACCAGCGGATAAAACTCCAAAATGTTTTAAAACTAATACTGAACCAATCCTGAAGTAACTGGAATACTCTTCATAAAGACTGTGTAATATTGTTCCACGTATATCACCTGAAAATAAAAAGAATACATGGAAAACGGTCAGTTTTTAAAATAGGTTTAAGCGGTGTAAATGCTATACAATTTATCTCAATTGTAATACAACTTACATTTTTTTAACTCAAGACCAATATCGCAGCAAAGTTCACGAGTGCCCAGAGCAAGATTTGAATTTTGAGCCCCTCCAAGCTTGCGTTTTAATTTTGGCAAAGTCTTTAATGTGCTCGTGCCCCAGCAGGCCAGCCCCTAGCTACGGCGCTGCTTATAACGACAGTTTTTTGTAGTTATTCACAATTTATCCAAAAAAATGTTGGGATATGAAACGCGCCATTAAAAATAATATCGATATCACCAAAGAGTTATTATAAGATATTCACAGATTGATCGAGTATTACTGTGGTGTCATACATATTGCAAAGAATTTTCAAATTGTCCTTTTTGATATTTTTTTACACTATGCCATTTATATAAATCCATTGTACATCTCAATTTTTTTTTTAGAAAAGTTGTGAATCGTATTGTATGATGTATGTACAAGGCATGCACATGGTAGGTAATCGGTGACCTACTACTATAAATACCGATAAACCAATGTTTGGACATGCATTCTGCTTAATACCTTCATATTCTTCTCGTTAATCTAAAAATTATTCAATCGACGATTGTCTGTTGTGTGTATCTTCGTTAGATAAAGTCAACTTTCTTTTGTCCCCTGATTATCACAAATACACATCTATTCCTACCCGGTGTACTGACAAACATAAAATATATTTCTTGCGTCAAGTTTTTATGGTTTCGTAAGAACAAGCCACAGACAATGTAACCACACACAGAAATGTAAGTTGAATTACCTGTAGTGTCCTTTAAAATAACGTTAATGGTAGGAATCTTCCCGTCTACAATATCTAAATTCTGTATCATAGCTGCTAAAAAAGGTGCCTTGTGATTCAAAAGTTGCTTCAATGCTTGCTTTTTGATCCACTTTATGTTAAATCTTTCAACCAAATTCTCTCTATTGGGCCAACGAAAATCTTTACACATTTCTTTCCATGGACCATTTTCAAAAACTGAGTTGGTTTGTTGGGATAAAATGGGCATCTACAAAAAATTATCCATATTTATATTATGTTATAAAAATCCATAAAGAAACTTACGTCTTCGACATTGTCAGTTTTCAATCTTTCATTTTTTAGGAGTTGTAAAATGGACTTATCTGCTCCTATTTCGGGTAAAAGTCCGGCTGGTCCAGGAAATTTTCTTCTTACCACTCGGTTAGGTGAATTAAAAGAGTCAACACATATTTGTCTCTGAATACAGAAATCTTTAGTTAAACTTTTATTTATGGCACTAATAGAATCGTCTAATTTCAGCCTTTTGAAATTCTCCTGTTCTAATTCCTTACAAACTCTTTTTGGTACTTGGGACGACTGCGTACTGCTAGTAGTTGGTTTAAAGGAGGTATTCAATATGACCTGCAATGAGGAATGATAAATACAATTTAAATGACAGTTATTTATATTTTACATCATCATCGAAATCAAAATGAGTCGTACTTTCAAACATATTAACTGCAATGAGCAAGAAACATTTCGATACACAACTTATGAAAGAGCTTTTACGTTATTTAAAATTCATGATAAAAAAAATTCTGTTATGTTTAAGAACACGTAGGTAAAATTTTAAATTTGTGTTTACAGTAGAATACAAAATATAACCTAAATCTATAAAATTAAATTTAAACATTTTCCTTCTTCTTCTTCCCTTAAAATTAAAAAAATTGCCCAAAAGCCAATTCCTCAAGACCATTAAGATTCTAAAACCACAGATCTAGAACTAATAACTTAAATGACGTACCTGAACCGCTTTCAATTGGAGCAATTCAGGAGCTTTCGTTTTGTCAAAAATAGTACCTATTAGCAACTAATATCAGTTCAGAGTAACTCTAAGTTGCTATTAGCTACTAATAGCTACTATTTTTGACAAATCGAAAGGCCCTCACGAGTAATCTACTTTTCTTCCTCCTCCCCTGAAACAGCAGTTGGTGTTTGAAGCTCGGCGCACAGATCACATGGCTCGGAGTTGCGGGTTGCGCAATTGAAACTACGACAGAAATGTCTTATTTTTTATTTGTGCATACAATTTACATTATTTCTGTATCTAAAAATTTGTTTATTTTCTTATTAGCAATAAACAAAAGATAACAAATAAAATAATAAATTGAAGTTTAATTTTCACAGTGAAAACGAGATGCTGGTGAACAACCACCAAACTGATCATGTATACGTTATAACTGTATTTATAAATTTATGGATGCAAAATTAATATCTGAAAGCAATGTATGGATATAATAATTTAATATTAATACTCACTGTACTTAAAAAATTTGCAGCATTTTCAATTTTTTTGCACCAGTATATCTTCAATTCAAATAATAAGTACAAAACTAAGTACATAATTTCGCTAGGTTGATCAAGAATTTGTAATCGCCGGTTATATGTAGCTCCCCGTCTTAAATTTTTTTGTCTGGTCTGTGGCAGTTTACCGCTAAAAAAGATGACCATGACCATACACCATCACCAACATCACCATGACCCTTGGCATCAAATTTATGAAATTTCAATCTACATTTTTTTTTGTCTAAATAGCAACATTTAAATTGTATAGTAAATAGTAAATATTTTTATATTATTTCTTTGATCTTAACACAACTGGAAAATTTGTATACGTTATAAATCTATGCATATACAGCATATTTCAGGCATGCCAAAAATGATTTCCGTTGTATTTCAATATTTAAATAGTGCATATCGCTAAGCTGTTTTTAGACGTGCCAGATTCCTTTATATTCTTTTTGATGAAATTGGATCAATTACAAAATTAAACAGAATATTTGGAAATCATTACATTTTTGAAACCACAAATCATAATTGCACAAAATTCTCCAAAAAAAAGTGTTAAAATGCTAATTATTACACACAACTTCCTTCTCTTATACAAACATTTTTTGTATTTGTGCGCTATTTTGGATAAATTATTAGACGAAGACAAATTTAACAAGCATATAGTACTGAAAAACATTTGGTTTATTGAAATTAAAACTGCTTTCATAAATTAATTCACCATATCTTTAAAAAAAATCACCACGGTCTAACTTTGGATTGTGTTGCATGACTGAGTATCCAAGTATTCTTAGGATCCTTAACCATCGACATCCGTTTATGTCTGGGATGTGTCTTGCAAATAACGAACATTCTCTCACCTCTTCGGACCAAGTAGCAGTCTTTGCAACGCCTCCTTACCTTCCCCATTACTTTAAATCCACAACATGGTATAAGATTTTGTGATACAGGAACTAATAAATTTCGTGGGGCTGTCGAGTTTATTAAATTTTGCCTAGCTAGTACGTGAAAAGCGGATGTCACCAGGTTAGAATGTTGAGTTACCCTTTTAGCAACATTTAGCAAAGCATTTGTCATCACCGGAAACATTTTATACACCTGAAATTAATGTATTTAAGTGTTAAATGAAATTGTAGTAATAATTATAAATCTTACTAAATTCACTTTCAAATTCCAAGTAAATTTTTGAGGTTAATTCTTCTTCCTCTTTGATTTTTTTATTTCACCAATTCAAAATGAAAAAAGGACCCCTTCCTATGATCAGCAAAAACTGTATGAAGATAGCTAATAAGCCATCATAAGCAGCTTTAGTACGCTAAAGGCTAGACTATTGAAAAAACGAGATGGAACAGCTACTCTACAATGAAAAGCAAACATTTTTACTCAATTCGACCTCGAGCCATCAGAATAATTTCTGTATTTCGCAATTCGCGATTTACGTAGCCTTTATAAACTTTATAAAAGAATGACTAGGAGCTTCCCGGATCATTTTGACCAAACGTTGCAGTAGTTCAGAATTCATTGATCTCCTTCTTCTTCATTCAAAAATTTTATTCATGTTTGAAATGCAAATATGGGGTAATTAATAATTATTTACTATAGTGGCACCCTCTCCAATTTTTACAAAATTTTGTCTACCCCCTATTTTCGATGGTGCTGAACACGAACATGAAGTTTTTTTGTGCGGTCGAATCGTTTTTGAGAAAAAAATTTTCAAAATTCTATCCAAATTTTGTGAAGATTTAGGAGGGTGCCACTATGCTAAATAATTACCAAATATGGAAATAGGCTGTTTTCGCGAATGAATATGGTGAATATCTGACTTGTAGTTACAATTTCTATCTTTTTTTATCTTAGTTGTCATATGATAGTTTAATTCTCTTCATTCTACTACAACATACGAATTCTCGCTAAAAAAAGCCTAATCAAAGCTTAGAAAGACATTTCGTTTCGATTTTTGATAAAAGTATCAAAACAAAACGTGGAATTATACTAAGAAAAATTTTTGCATGCAAAACGATACTAGGTTTGCAATATTTAACTTTTCTATTTCTGATTATTTATAAAATAATATTTATATTACGATTCGATCTATTATTTTTTTGAGAATTATTGTATAACACATACAACTAAGTACTGATAAAAATTTAATAGTGCTGTCGTAGTAAATAAAAAAGGTGCAGATTGCAAATAGTTGTACACTCACTTGACCTTAACGCATTATTAAATATTGTTTTAGGATTACTTTCCACAACTTATTGAACAGGACAGTGTATTTATGTTCTCTTACATAAAACTATTATTCCCTGAAGAAATATGTCTGCAGTAAGGTACAAAAAAAATAAATAGTCTAATAAAAAGTATCGTTAGCAGTAGCAACTAGTTAATAATTATTGTTTACCGAATATTACTATTTATAATAGTCATTCTAGAATGGTTCACAATTAATTAAATGTAATTCATTGAACTAGTAAAACACTTTTTTTTTTTCAATGCTTAATGTACTACTAAACAGTATCATGAAGTGTATCATTCGTGAAAATTAAATAATTTTTGCTAAAAAAACATTACATATTTAGCTTTTTTTTGGAATTTGTGGAAAATTATACCTCCAACAAAGTTTAAATTCTGATAGAACGTATTTATTATAAATAAGTGTTAAAATTTAAGGCACTGAAATCTGTAATATCCGTAATATCCTTATTAGAGTGCTTCGTTTGAAACGTACATTTTTTTCCTTTGCTCCATTAACGAAACACTGAAAAAAATATTCGCACCGAATTTGAGCTCTTAATTTTAATTTTAAGTACTTACTCACTATTTGGTTTTAAGACTTTCCTATTCATTTAACACATAAACCTACAATTTTTTTTAATTTTCTATATCTCAACTGCTTTCACGTTATTTTATTGTCCGTAAGAGATAATTGTAGGGAAATCTTTGTTCTTTGAAAGTGTCATGTGACTTGAACGGTTTCACTGTTAAAAAATCTTAAAAGTTAATTTTTATCGTTGCATTTTAGTTTTTATCTAGTTTTTAGTTTTTACATTTTATTTTGCAGCCTTAATATGTTAAAAACTATTTTGTTACCAAATTTATCATTATAAAATAATATAATGTTCAACAGACAGTTATTTGACAATTTACAATCAAATTTTCAATACGATAAATTTGATAATATAAGGATATTTTAAGTTTTCACACTGTTGATTCTATTTATTTCGTGAATTAATAGCTTAGATACTGAGGACTTTTTTATAGCAAATTTAGTTTCCTATGTACGCTTTTGTTGTGTCTATAGTCATTTATGAGAAAAATGCAAAAATCAATAAAAATTAACTTTTAAGATTTTTTAGCAGTGAAACCGTTCAAGTCACATAGATCCTACCATAGACACTTTCAAAGAACAAAGATTCCCCTATAATTATCGCTTACGGACAATAAAATAAAGTGAAATGCAGCTGATTGTGATAGAAAATTAAAAAAAAAACTGTAGGTTTACGTGTTAAATGAATAGGAAAATTTCAAAATCAAATAGTGGCTATTTAAAATCAAAATTAAGAGTTGAAATTTCCTGAGAATTTTTTTTCCAATGTTTAGAACAATATTTTGTCAATGGAGCAAAAGAAAAAAATTTATGTTTCAAACGAAGCACCCTAATCCATATTATAAATTTATTGTTATAATTAACTTACCTTCAAAAAATCTTCATTCGCATCCAGAAGTAGACAGTTTAAGTGACAATTAAAAAAAATATGCTGTTTAGTTTATTAAAACGATATATTTTGGTTACGTAACATTATCACCCAAGAAAACAAATGACGATATATATTTTATTGCTCAAGTTGATCTAAGAATGCTTTACATGAGCGAAGACATTGCTGATAGCATACCTCAAAACCCTCGGAACCACGGTCCTAGAAAAAATATTACTATTTTCTCGGTATGTACATGAGAAACATTAGGAAAATTATTGCGATTCAAATGTATCAAATAATGGACAATTTACGGTTAAGTTTTTGAAACAACTACTATAATACTATATTATCGTTCCCTTGCCAACATTTTAATCAAAAGGTATACAAACACAAACTTAAATGTAGAGATGGGAAAATTCCCAAACTATGAAAATTCCTGGAAAGTTTCCATTGAAAATTCCGGAAATTTTCTGAAAATTTCAAAAATTTTTTTTGGATTTGATATTGTGTTTTACATACCATCAGCTTTCCAAAAAGACCAAATACTTATATACATTTCTATTTATATTGGTATAAATATTGGAAAAATATAAATTATGTATTAATCATCCGTTTTTTAACAAACAAATAGTAAATACATTAAATAATTATACTAGTTTTAAAATTTAATTGTACTTTGATTCAAGTATCAAAATTCATATTAAATTTGAAAAGGAGGCAATTTATGAGTCTTGTATTGCTCTCTATTATGTAGATTGTAGACTTAACACAGATTAAAATAAGTAAGTGTAAGTGTTTTCTAACTTATTTGGATAATATGGTCTTCTGGTATTCCGAATTAACCGAAAATCCAAAATTAACCAACAATTTTTTGTGTATGTTCATAGAAGTTAGAAGTAAAATTAGCTCCAAGTTTACAAATTGTTAGAAATATTCCCAGAAAATTTCCGACGGAAATTTTTTCAGAAACTTTCCAGGGAAAATTTCTCAAGCTTCGATTATTTCTTCCCGGAAAATTTCCGTTTTGGAAACTTTCCGGGACGGAAAATTTCCCATTGCCCATCTCTACTTAAATGTGTTTTCAAATTAGTTTCCGATGAACCTCAGAGTAACGTATGTACTAAGTCTGATATTCTTAATAGTTCAATTTTTTTCACCTTGTTTAAGGACGACTCAAGACCAGGATATTGTAAAGAATATTGTTTATTTGCTAAAGATCAATTTAAATGATTCTTTATTAAGTATTGGAACTGGTAGTAACTATCTTGCATTAAAAGTAATTTGCTGGAACATGAACATTTTTGGTTTAATGAACCATAAACAGACTGAAGGAGATGAACAACCTATAAAAGGAACAATTCTGCAGAGAATACATTTTGAAGGCATGGTTTCTCTCTTAAATAGACATACACAGGATGTAAATAAAATACTTTTAAAATGTCACATTTACTTTTCCAAATGCTATTTTAAAAAGTACGATTTGAAAAGTATTATAGATTCGTTAAGAAACAAAATTACTCTTCACTTTTCGCTTTTCGGTACCTAATCGAAAACTGAAAAGGCAATTGTGCAGACTACTTTATAAAACAGAAAAACTCTGCTCTCTCACTTTTCACTTGGTACTTTTCACTTTCCAATTTTTTTTCCAAACAGGTCCCTGTATTGATCAAGTAACAGGAATACTTACATAATAGGGATCTCTGATTATCCTTTCACCTTGCGGATCATAATCCCCTAAAAGCAATATCTTTGCTTTACTGCCGATAGGCGCTTGATCTTGTAGATTGGAAATGTTATTTTCATCCATTCCGAATATGTAGTCAAATTCGTGGAAGTCTTCATCTTCGATCTATAACAAATTTAGAACTATGTATTACAAGCCATAAGTTAAATGCAAATGGTTGATTTTTTATGAAAAAATATATCATGCAAGAAAATAAAAAACATTTAAAAAATTGCATTTTAAAGTGCATTCTTTTTTATTAAATTAAAGAATGTTAAATATTGAAGAGATAAGAATTAAAACTTGGAAGAATAAATTAAAAAAACTTCTAAAAATATGCAGGAGCTTCCATCCTTTTTTATTTATTTGGGTATATCGTCATCTTGAAAAAAATTGTGAAAGCGCCATATACAGGGTGGTCCGAATTTTATGCATGAAACTTCGAGGACAGATAGATCTCTTTAAAATAATAGGAGTTTGCCTTATAAACATAGGTATGGAACGGCCTCGTTTTAGAGATACAGGGTGTTGAAGTTGTTAAAAAAATATATATTTTGTTTATATCTCAGGAATCTATTAACCGATCTCAATAAAATTTGGTACAAATAATGTACGATAGTAGGCCTTGCATTCCCTAATATATGAGCTCTAAAGGTTTAACCAGTGGTGTACAACTGGACAGGGGTCACCCCCTTTTTATAAAAAAAAACCTACCCCACTGTATTTTTTACAAGTTATTGTAACGGATTTATATTATAACGTATTACATAAGTAAAAAATGAGACTTGAATTTTTTGCCTAAGGTTCACCATTTTCAAGTTATTCATACAAATACAATCTCCTTGTGGCAGACACTTCAATCATAATATTACAAAAATATTTATGTTTATGCATAAAAGTAAGTGCAATTTGTAAGCACATCAACAAAATTCTTTCCACATCACTTGTGAGGTAGTGTTCCTGGTGTGTTTTAGTTTTCCCTGGAGGCATTATCTTTACAAATAAGAACAATTTAAATCAAAATAATAATAAAAATACATTTATTTTACCAAGCAACAACAACTAAACAAGAAACAAAATTAACGTTAAGTATTTACAGCAATTGTTTAAAATTCGAACCACCCACATCGATACATTTCTGACATTTTCTATTAATGGAACTAATTGAAGCTAATATCATGTGGTGGTTTTCTTTTAATTCATTACACCCGTCTTCTATTCGCTGCAGTAGTTGTGGTCTAGTATCTATTGGAGTAGAGTAAACTTTTCAGGTAGGTCACCCCAAACATAGAAGTCCAGGGAGTTTAGATCTGGCGATCTGGCTGGCCAAGACCCTGGACCCTCTGCACCATTATGGTTAACATTGGCATTTGGTCTTCTATCTATCCATCATCTCATATAATTTTCATTAAACTATTCTTGTATTATTCTCCTAAAATGCGCAGGAGCACCATCCATTTGTATCCAGCTATTTTGTCGTATATTGGAGTGGAACATCCTCTAATAATTCAAAGAGATGGTTTTCTAGAAAGTTTAGAAATGACTCCGAATTTTATGAGAATTTACTTGTGACCAAATATCCAGATTGTGAAAATTCACTACCCCTCGCCTTGTGAACGTAGCCTCATCGGTCCAAAGTATTTCTAGTAAGAATTCAAACAACCACTGATAAAAATTCAGGCGTCTGTCTGCATCTCCCGGACGTAAATTTTGCACAGGTTGTAAATGGTACGGATTTCTGTCATCCTTACGTAGAACTTTTCAAATTTTCGATTTACTGACCCCAAGTTGCCGAGACGTTCTTCGTGTACTTAGCCGAGGATTGTCGACAAATGCTTTTAAAATTTCATTTCTGTGCCTTTCATTCCTTTGTCGTGATTTTCCAAATATTGTTTTAATCCATAAAGATGAAAGCGATGAGTGTAAAGAATTTTGTTAATGTGCTTACAAATTGCGCTTACTTATAAGCATCAACATAAATATTTTTGTAATATTATGGCTAGTGCATGCCACAAGGGGATTGTATTGGTATGAATAACTTGAGAACGGTGAACTTTAGGGAAAAAATTCAAGTTACCTTTTTTACGTATTTTGTGCATTAGAATATAAATTCGTTACAACAGCTTGTAAAAATACAGTGGCGTAGGTTTTTTTTTATAAAAAAGGGGGTGACCCTGTCCAGTTGTACACCACTGGTTGAATCTTTAGAGCTTATGTTTTAGGGAATACAAGGCCTACTATCATACATTATCTGTACTAAATTTTATTGAAATCGGTTGATGGATTCCGGAGATATAAACAAAAAATATATATTTTTTAACAACTTCAACACCCTGTATCTCTAAAACGAGGCCGTTCCAGACCTATGTTTATAAGGCAAACACCCACTATTTTTAAAAGATCTATCAGCCCTCGAAGTTTCCTGCATAAAATTCGGACCACCCTGTATTGTATCCAATATTAATAATGTCTATCGTATAATGAATACAAACAGGACAAACACAGATAAGTATTCCTTAGCAGTAGTCAATGTTATAGAAAAAATATATATGAATAAAAAAACAATACAAGAGGGAATAAAATACAAATTACATAAAGGTAAATGTACCTAAACAGCTACAGAAAATACCAAAAATAATTTAAATAAAATTGCAGAAATATTCTTTCAGTTCTATCCAAGGTAAATAATAAAAAACTTCTAGCTTTTCGTTAGTTTCTATTACTTTGAAAAATATCTATAACCAATAACCATGTACATTTTTATGAGAAAATGTGAAAAGTTCTTTAAAATTGTATAACTTAGTAATAATGTTTTATAAATTGTAAAAAAAATAATGAAAACAACATTGCATCATTTTTTTTGTAACCATGTATTTAGAAAATGTGGAACGATCGCGAGAACCTACATGCATAAACCACAAAAAATGTATTATTCATACTCAACTGACTCAAGCCATTGAATTTACAAAAGGTATAAAAATTTGAAGGTTGCATGTGTACAGAATCTGCAAGATACAATTTTTTAATATTCAACCCGTATCGTTTATGCTGCTTTGTTTCATATTTCACATCATAGTTAAGAGGCCTACGTTTAACATTTAACCAATTTTCAAACATCAAATTCGGAAGGTATTGCCCAAACGTGAAAGAAAGATTTGGCAACTTGCCATATTTTTTTAAATGTCTAGAAATAATCGATAACCTCATATAAAACCATGCAGTGTAAATATTAGAAAATTTTTAGAAGTTCTTCTTAATAACGAATTATTAAAATTTGGCGCGCAAAATAAATGCTTTGAACGGTGTTTGCTGCTGAGCTAATTCATGACGTCACTTAGTGCGACCGAGAGAGATATAGTAACAAGAGTCTAGAGACAACCATTGAAATTTCAGACTAGCCAGTCGACATAGCACTAAATGACATCACAATGCGCTCTTGATCATGACATAAAATTATAATTTTTACATAATTTTGAGCATCTGTCGGTTATTTTTATGCAAGTAGCCTATTCTGTTTTCTTTTAATTTCCCTTTATTTGCAGCCTGAAAAATCAGAAAAATCCAAAATCCCTGCTATTTTTCTTTTGCTATTCAAGAAGTATAAGGAAACTACAGGGTGTTCATCGTATTAAAAAATAATTAAGTTTCACAAGGCATCTATTTTAAAAGCTATTTAAAAAAAATCGATTTTCAGGGGCGTCTTTTAGGGGCCTGAATCTTGGTAGGGAGGCCCTCTGGGGAAAATGTTTATAGGAACTTGTCATGTTATTTTAACGTCCCTGTATAAATCCGTGATATTGTCCACATATTCTGGGACACCCTGTATAAATGCTAATTTTCATTACAAGACTAGTTGTTTTCGCCGTTTTGATTTCACATTTGGAAATGACCTTTTTTTTTACCTTTTAACGTGCTTCGTCAATCACTAACAATAACTGTTTTTTTTTGCTGACGAATATTTTGAACGCGAGGCCCTTAACACAAACAATGAAGACATTTCTCCATAAAACTTAGGCAAGCGACCTTTCCCTTGGTTTTCAGCATCACTAAATCCGTCTGTAATATTTTTCGAGGCGTGACGGTATGCTAGGTCAGTTTGTGCAACGCGACCCGATAGTAATGATCTAAAATTATAAGAATGCCGCTCCTTAAAGCCACATTTTAATTTAAAAAAAAATGCAACGTTGCAAGGGATGGAAAATATTTCAGGAGTAAAGAAACTATTCGGTAAAACTTGCAGTTACAGAATACTAGTGCTGTAAACTGTAACGTTTTTAAAAAGTTATACAGTGGATAAAAAAAAGTTACCTATCATTCGGAAATCAGACGCATTTTCACCCCATTGTAAAAAAACATTTACATATAATCATTAATTGACAACAATAGACAACTTGCATGTTTTTTTGAATGCCTACAAATATTTACAACCTTAGCGTAAATATAAGACATCTGCATGTTTGCTGTCGCGCTAATTTGCGACGTCATTTAGTGCGATCGATAATCGAGAAGATGAATGACAGGGACAGAAGCATCCATCCAGTATGAGAAAAAAAAGTAACAAGTCTAGAAATCCCATAATACAGACAGTTGATTTGACACATCCGACACATCAAATTAGAGTTGACAGTGGACTAATATGACAAGTTTGTCTACCTTATATGAAAGTTGCACCCCTGGGGCGATATACCCTCTTAAAGGAGGGGATTGAAATTCACATTTTAATTTTTTTCTTTAACATGAGGAATGCTAGAGATACGAAACTTGGTATGGAAGAACTTTTTAATATTTGTTCGATAATTGTCGTATTTTATAAAGGAGTGAAACAGTCAACTCCATTGCAATATTTTATTAGAAATTTTTTATGAGGCAAATTATTTATTTAAAAATATTTATTGGGAAGACTGATTTATTGCGCAACTTTTTTACCTCCTGTAATTTTTCGATAAATCCGAGTTTTCTAGTAAAAAAATTAGATTCGTCATCGTTCACTAAAGGGGTAATTGCGAAAATTTGTAAAAATAAAGTAGGCGTATGTCATAACAAATAAATTGTTATTTATCATATTAATAAATTGACACTTTCTGTCAATAAATTGGTAATTTAATAATAGCATTAAGAATAATTTGCTATTAATTAATGAAAAAATTTACTACCTATATGTTTCACAATAATAGTTTACATTTTTACCATAGGATAAGTCTGCCTCGTACACACGTGGTATGCACCAGCTGTGTAGCATTAGGTTAAGCGTTGTGATAAAACTCCCCAATATTAATACTCGATGTATTTTGAAAACTGTTAATCTTACGCTCCTGTAATATACAACTTTTTTGTTCATTTCAAGTAATGGCAGTCAAGCTTCTTACACGCTGTATAACTAGACTAGAAAAATTGCGAAACAGATTCGCTCATTATTCAAATTTTATAATAAAGCCTATAGAATGTTCCAAATATCATAGTAACAAAACAAGCATTTCAATTTACTACACTAGTGAACCGAAAATTTCATTCAGACCTCATATTTCTATTCAAATTGCTTAACAAATTGATCGGTTGTCCTGAACTATCTTTGTAAAACTTTCACGTTCCATTTACAAATACCAGAACTAATTTATTTATTTGATATAAATTTTTGTAGAACCAATTTAGGTGTGAATAGTTTTATTTGTAGAATAACATCGTCTTTTAATAATTATTTATCAAATAATGATAGTTGTGTTGATATATTGTCGTCCTGAATTATTTTGTCAAAGGAATGCAGTTGTCTTTTTCAAAACTAACCCAAAAATCTGTACTGTACATTTGCTAACAGTAATTTTTTGTTCCAGACGAAACCTTTCTTTTTGCGAGAATGAAAGTTTTTGCGAGAGCAGCAAGCAAAAAAATCCACTCGAGGAAATGTCGACATTTGCGTTTAATTAATGTTATCCGCGATATCAACACGAGCCACATGCGCGCAATTTGCTTTACTATCAAGTCATACTTACTCTACGTTGTTAAGGAATAGTTCATTAATCAATTGGTTAAGTAATCGTCAAAACTGATGTTTATAATCGTAAATAAATGAACTGGCAAATTTTAAATTATGGCTTTCTCTTCAACAAATTAGAAACATTTTAAATTTTTATGGATATAAAAATATTCGTCTTGATTGTCCGTCAACTTTTGATTACACTTTCCGAAAAAAAATGAAAAAACTGATGGTATTTAAGTAACTATAAAGTATAAAGTTCTTATTACGCGCATAGAAAATATTTTTTTTCGTACTTTTTGGTATAAAATAGTGATAAAAATGAAAAAAAAAATTGTAGGCTGTCTTATAAACATGCTGAAAATTGTAGTGGTATTTTCCGCTTAAACCGAAAACGCAATATAGCAATTAAGGGTATAAAGGGTGTTATATGGATAATAATGCGACAATGTTGTATCCTATAACACCCGTGATGCTTTCAACGTTAAATGTCCTACTAATCTATTATTTGATTAAAAAAATGTGTGTATTGAGAATTGTTTAACATTTAGTCTGTACTGACGTTAATAAATGTTACTTGTAATTTTTAATATTGAATTAATGGCGACTTTCTTGCCCTAGGGCGTTACTTTTTCTATTTCACCTAATGTATGTCAAAGTACGATGATTATTTCCCCATAACACATTAGCGGGATATTAAAAATATTTAAAAACTCAAATACCGGACAATATTTATGTCAGATAATTTAATTGCTCGAAATATAACAAACATTGCTCCATCCGCTTAAGCAAGAATTATTAGTAATGGTTTGAATGCCAAAAACCATAAAATTGGAAGAGGTCAAATGGCGTATATTATCTTTAAAGATTGGTGTTCTATATATGTATATTGATAATTCAAATTTGACAAGGTTATACAGGGTGAAGTCAACTGGAACATAATTTTTATTTCCGAGTAATTAATTCAACTTTGTTAATGGTATTTCAATGCAATTTTGTCGCGCTTAAAACGTTGTTTTTGCATAGGGACCATGTTAAAAATGCAGAAAATGCAAAAAAGCGAAAGGTAATCCTATAGTTTATTTCAATATGTAATTATTTTTGTAATTGCTGATTATTCTTTTCTTTTTTTTTACATCTCTAATACGCATCTAATGTTCCCAAAAATAAATCATAAATTCTTGGACCATCTTTAAATTTACACTAATATAATTTTTCCAAAATTAAACAATGTTTTGTATGGGGGTTTAATCCATTAAAAAATCTTCTCGATGTCATTACAAAACATTTAAAAGAGTTACTGGAAAGAATTTCAATTTTACTGAAGGGTAAACGTCGTTTAACACTGATTTTTGGTTTTTTTTATTATTCATCTACTTTTGGGCGCTGTATTGTATTTTTCAATTCAGGACAGTTATCTGTTTTTGTCAAAACACCAAATTATAGGTTTTTATAAAGAGTGCTTTGAAAACAAAACAACTAAATATTACTTCAATCCTTGATGTGAATATAATGGCGTGTTTACGCGCTTGTGGTAATTTGAAGAATATCTAGAATTGTAATTTTAATTAACTTTGCAATTGTCAATGAGATTTTAACCGAACTGTCAAAATTTCATTTAAAGTGAAAATCGATAGTCTGATATTTTGACAAAAACAAAACAAAGAAAATCATATCATACGATACATAACCATAATCCGAAAAACGCGCTGAATTAAAAATAAATGAAAATCTTATATGGCGCCCACAAGATAAACAAAAGTTGCGTGAAATTTCTCCGTATTGGTAATTTCAAAATACCGTTATTAGATTATTGGTCATAAAATGACGCAACTTCGCCCTAATTGCAACGACCTTGTATCTCTTAAGATAACCGAGATCCTAATGGAAGACTCGGAAAACAGACCATATCAATAATTTTATAAATAAAATTTAAAAAAATAATAAAAAATACAGATCTGGACTACATAGTATAATTATTTTTATTTGCTACTAAATAGGTATCACCTTTTATCGTTCAAAGTAATATAAAAAAAATGAATTAGAAACTGTCATCAGTTACATTTATCTGCTCCGACTATAGTAAATAGATTGTTAATACATTGTTTTTAAGGAGGTAAGTGAGTGAACTTACCTTCCTAGGGGAAAAAGCGATTTCGAGTTATAAATGAAATATTTTATGAACATTTTATTAATTATTAAAATGAATATTTATAGTAATGGTATAGTTATTACATTTAGTAACAATTATAAAGTCTGGATAATTATTCCCCTCGCGTTTACTAATTGTCACATTTTTCTCAATATTATCTGACTGATCCTTTAAAACAGCATGATCCGACGTACTACTAGGACCTGGAGTTGAAGTGTCACTGTAAAGAATCGTGTTGGCTATTTCCTTTTTGTTACTTAAACTGTCAGCAACATAACTTTCTGCAGTTGTGGCTGATTTCCACCCACCATGTCTCTTGATTGCTAATACATCAACTCCCGTATTAGCCAGTAACGTTGCCGATGTTCTTCGGAAGAAATAACCTGTATATGTTTCAGGATGTTCTAGTTTCAAAAACTGTGCAATCTTATTAGGAATCATAGAAAGGGTATTCTTGCCGACTGGTTGGTTGTAACATCTACTTGCTTGATAGAGCATAAAAAAACGTGAAACTTTAATTTCCAATCTAATCTTAATATATTTCTTGAGAATTTCTAGGTGAGAAACAGAACCCAGACGAGAAGTGATTGTAAACGTACGTGAAGTATAATTTTTAGAATCTGGAATTGTAACTATGTCATCGAAACTTTTGAAATTGACGTTATCTAAAGTAAGTTTGCATAACTCATCAGAACGGCATGCTCTTGCAACGCCTAAAACCGTCACTACCTTCATTAGCAAATATGTGTCATCGACTGCCTGGACGAGAAAATCGTCGACTTGTTCTCACTTTCGACTTCTCGAACAATAAAAATTCGCAGGCATTTAGAAATAATAATTCAAAACCAGCAAAATTGCAACTTTTATGTAGCTTTGTTTATAAACACCTTAGAAACGACAAAATCCACAACCAAGGCGACTCTGCAAGATTTCGAATAATGTCAAAATGAATTGATTAAGAAATGTCAAAAAATAAAACCTAATCTTTATTTTATAAACCTTAAAGAACTGTGGGAACAGATAAAATGATATACACCACGATGCAGTTAAGTATAATTTACCAGTCTCGGACTCTATTGCCAGCCCTCGCTCCGCTCGGGCGCAAAATTGCCCTCGACTGGTAAATAATACTTACCTCCTTTATGGTGTAAATAACTATTACATTTTGCAATTCTGTCATGTATTACGCTGCTAAGTTGGGCAGGTTCATCAACATCCAATAGCAATTGCTAGTCACTTAAATTTACAACTGGATTTAATCGCAATAAAAATCTAATGCGACAGTATTACTCCATTAATGAAAAACAAGCTAGAGTATGTTTATGTCCATGGAAATTGTATTTTTTTTTGCAAAACGATTGGAAGTAAAAAAATAAAACGCACAAGATAAAAATTTTACGTAAATCTAGAAAACAACCAAATGTCCCCAGAAATGTTCATCCACCCTGTAAGCCAACTATCGGGAACACATTCGGAATCACAACTCCACCAAGAATATCTGTTTATCTACACAGAAAACCAACGAAACTCCAAACCGAAGAGAAAAACTTTTTTTTAAAAACCACTTTACCCGACAAACTGAGGTACATATAAGTTACTATCCGTCTTCCGAGCATTTCAGTTGTGGATTTCCGACCGACGACGGCAGTGAAAGTGTCTTGGGGACGGCAAGTATATTATTTATTGTTGTTATGACGGTAATCGAGCGTGTCTTGTGCATTTCGATCTTATTTCCCATTGTGATAATCCGGGGTGCGTCGGACAGGCCGCATATAGTTATTATTCTTGGAGACGACATCGTAAGTAGATCAAATTGGTAATGATAAAAAAAATTGTCGAGTTGTTTAAAATTATAATTTTTTCAAATTTTATTTGTCTGATGCCAAAATTACACTCTCGCAAAGCTAATACTTTACTCGCTGGAGGCAAAAATAAAATGTTTAGGTATACAGGGTGTTGCATAAGTATGTACAAAAAATTCAGGACTGCAATTCTTGGAAAATTTTGAGGGAAGTCTTTCTACAATTTTTTTTTAATCGGAGACTCCTAAAAAGTGACAGTCCATTAAATGCGGATGGTGTAAACCGGTTTATTAAACTTAGAAAAAGAAGTAAATAATAATGTATAATTTAAAATAATTTTAATAGAAATAATTTTAACTTTACAAAAGTTATTCAAAATAGGCCCAGTTTTGAAGTTTTCAAGAAATTACAATGAAAAAAAATATTTTTTTTTTCTCAAAAACAGAGCAATACTAAGTTTTTCTACGAAACAAAAAAATTTCTAAATAAACAAAGGCATCTTAAAATATTACTTCGCTTAAAAAAATTTGAAAGAGTAAAAAATTTAAAGTAAGAGTAAAAAAGCGGGATTACTGGTATATTTCGAACATAAATTAATAAAATTAAACTTTCGACGTTATGGTCAGTATATTCCATGTTAAAAAGTACACTGAATGCCAAAAATAATGTAGATACCAGAAAATTTCCAAAACTAATACCATATTTGAAACGCAAATCAGTCGGATACCGTCCGAAAATGTCCAGAATTCTAACGAAAGAGGAAATCGACTATAAGTACTACAGTTGTTCCAAATCTCGTTTGCTTATATTCAACAATTTTTGAAAAAAATTGAAAAAACCAGTACTCCTCTATAACTTTTTAGGGGAGGCTCCCATTAAAAAAATTTGTATAAAAGACCGCCTTTAAACATTTTTATATACACTTATGCAACACCCTGTATTATAAGTTGCCATCGTGATAGTACAGATAGCAGTCATACTAGACGTCGCAACCTTCCAAATTATCAAAATGACAGTTACCTATTTACTTTTAGGAATCCCCGAAATGAAATAGGTACAGATTGTTTATAATTTGTGAGACAATTTTTGACAGTAGGAAAATGTCTCTTGTAAATGGCTTTTTTTACGTTTATCAATATCATGAAAATGTCACTTACGACCCATAGACACAAAAACAACTAGAAGCTATTATAGTTATTTACATCACAAAGGAGGTAAGTATTATTTACCAGTCGAGGACGATTTTGCGCCCGAGCAGAGCGAGGGCTGGCAATAGAGTCCGAGACTGGTAAATTATACTTAACTGCTGCGTGGTGTATAACATTTATCTGCTCCCACAATTCTTTACGGTTCATGAAATAAAGATTAGGTTTTATTTTTTGACATTTCTTAATCATTTCATTTTGACATTATTCGAAATCTTGCAACGTCGCCTTGGTTATTTGGATTTTGTCGTTTCTAATGTGCTTATAAATAAAGCCACATAAAAGATGCAATTTTGCAGGTTTTGAATTATTATTTCTAAATGAGTGATTTTCAAATAGTATGTGCGAAATGCAAATGCAAATGCTGCTTGCGAATTTGTATTGCCCGAGAAGTCGAAAGTACGCTACGGACGAGCGTATAGAAATTTCAAAGAATGGTGCCAGAACCAAAATACTGGTGTTTCTGAAATATCACTGCTAGCATATTTCATGGAGAAGTCAAGAACTTTAGTCACCGGAGAGTTTGTGGAGTGAATAGTTAATGATTAAGTCACCTATTTTCATAGAGGAGAACGTGGATATATCAAAATACCTCAAACTGAGAGCATTTTTGAAACGTAAGAATGACGGCTATACACCTAAAAAGTCAAACATTTTTACAAGAGAACAAGTCAACGATTTTCTCGTTCAGGCACCCGATAACACATATTTGCTAATGAAGGTAGTGACGGTCTTAGGCATTGCAGGAGCATGCCGTTCTGATGAGTTATGCAAACTTACTTTGGACAACGTCAATTTAAAAATTTCGATGAATTGTAGTTACAATTCCAGATTCTAATGATATGTCACGTACGTTTACAATTACTTCTCGTTTGGGTTCTGTTTCTCACCTAGAAATTTTCAAGAAATATATCAAGATTGGAAATTAAAACTGAAATTTCACGCTTTTTTATGCGCTATCAAGCAGGTAGATGTTGCAACCAACCAGTCGGCAAGAATACCCTTTCTATGATTCCTAATAAGATTGCACAGTTTTTGAAACTAAATCATCCTGAAACATATATAGGCCATTCGTTCCGAAGAACATCGGCAACGTTACTGGCTAATACAGGAGTTGATGTATTAGCAATCAAGAGACATGGTGGGTGGAAATCAGCCACAACTGCAGAAAGTTATGTTGCTGACAGTTTAAGTAACAAAAATGAAATAGCCAACAGGATTCTTTACAATGACACTTCAACTCCAGGTTCTAGTAGTACGTCGCATCATGCTGTTTTAATGGATCAGTCTGATAATATTGAGCCTCCGGTGACTGAAATGGAGCGGTCAAATCATTTTGAGAAAAAAGTGACAATTAGTAAACGCGAGGGAAATAATTATCCAGATTTTATAAATAGTAATAATTAATAAAATGTAATGTTAGTCAAATATTTCTATTTATTTGTTAAAAAAACGCATTTATAACTCGAAATCGCTTTTTTCCCTAGGGAGGTAAGTTACCTCACTTACCCCCTATTGTGCATAGCTACTTCCACATCTACGGTAAAATCAACTTACCTTCTTAAAAACAATGCATTAATAATATGTTTACTATAATGGGAGTAGATAAAATTCATTACACATAAGTTCTACGACGACACAAAAGCAATTAATTTAGTCATTATCGGAAATGGAAAAATAGAAAATAATGTGGTTAAGTGAAAGTTAAAAGTAACGAGGAAGTTAAATATGTAGTGATAAAAAATTAAATACGTATTTACTTATAAATCAAACACAAACTAACATCAAAACACGTACGACATAGCATAGGCACTAATTACTATTAAACACAAATCTGCAATTTGAACAATTACAAATACACTACCGAGAAAAATTAAGGGAACAAACATAAAATTTTTTAGTGATATTTGGCAGACCATATCTCAGTGAAAAATGGTTGTATCGGGATAAAAAAAGCAATTGGAAGCTTCAAGTCTAGTTTTCAAGATAGTTTGACAAAAAAATTTTTGAACTCCGGTTATTGCGAAATCATAGGAAATAACGCTAGAAAAAAACATTCCCAACTTTTTTCAGGAAAATGTTTTTCACTTAGACATAGGTCAGTTAGCTTTATTACACAGCTTTAGTTTAGGTTTGTTTTGGTCTCTGCACGTCAATTTTTTTGTTAAGATATCGAAATTTGAATGGAAAAGGATCCTTTTGTCTTCGATCATCAATATTTCAGTTGAATAGTTGAGTTGATTTGAAGAAAAACATTTTTTATTTCATTCTTAACGTTAACACAAGGAATTATGGTTTACAAAATCTTTAAATATATATATTTTTTCTGAAACGTAAATAAACTTCGCAGAAAATATCAAAAATCAAATCAATCAATCTGTGTAAATCGAGGACGAAATTCACTTTGGAGTACCAGTTTTAATTTTAATGCAATTAAACAAGATTTAGTATAATTATGGTTTGTAAAAGCTGAATGTGTTTTTGAAAAAAAAAAAATTTTCAAAAATAAAAAAAAAATTAATAATTTATTTTAATTCATTTAATTCATTTTGATAATGATTACGTAATGATTAGGAGCAATAAACGTGTTTCTTATGTGTCTTATGTGTATGTGTAAACGTGTCTCTTCTAATTATATCCAAAATTTGAACGGTTTGAAACAGAAAAACGCCTGGTACATTTAGCTGTCTCATCAATATTTGTAAATTAGCGGTACATTTTCTAAAAAACCGTTTAACAGTAATTTTTTTCGCACTTTTTTCAAATTAGTGTTAAGGATGAAAAAAATTTTTTTTCTTCAAAAATCATGAAAGGTCCCTGTAAAGGGTTTATTCAAGTTTTCAAAACCGCCCTTAAATTTACTGTACGGTCATTAGTTACTGAGGTGTTGATGATCAAAGAGAAAAAAATCCTTTTTCATTCAAAGCCGCATATCTTAAAAAATTGACGTGCAGAGGCCAAAAAAAAATAAATTAAAACTGAAAAAAAAAAAAATTTCCTATGTCTGCGTAATAACCGGGGCTCAAAAAAATTTTGTACCAAAAGATCTTGAAATTAGAGATTTGAAGCTTCGAATCTCGATATGACTATTTTTCCTTGAAATACAGCCTGTCACAAAAAAATTTCTGATTTTTTTTGTTCTTGTAATTTTTCCCAGTAGTTCATTACGCGAAGCCATATTGTTTTTTACTAAAGTGGAACTTATATTTGTACCATTAAAGCTAATACTAAAACGATTCCATCTTCGGCAACAGGATTTGTAGCCCAGTCGGGTTGTCATTTAACCGGGAAAAAATTAGGGACCACAATTTTATTGTTCTAACCTTTAGGGGGGGGTCAATAGTAGTGTAAATTCAGAATCGCGACTGAATTCCACCCCTGCGTCAGCCGCCATCTTGAATTTCAGGAAAAATCGTTTTTGCTCAATATCTCGACCATTTTAAACTTTACAATAAAAATGGTAAGGACTTAAGTTGTTGCAAATGCGTTTTCCTACAACTTCTTTTATTACGAATTTTATCGTGCGATCGATATTTTTCAAGTTAAGGGAGAAAATAGTGACAAAGTATAATTATCTACCAACATTTACGGTCCTTCGCTTGCGGAGACGTCAGGCCTATGGAATGTTGATCCCTTGAGTTTAGTTAGGCTTGCCGTAGGCGTAGGACCTTAAATTTTGGTAGTAGCGAAAAAATCAAAGCGATCAAAGTTGTAGAAAATATAATTCTTTCCAACTTTGTTTATGTACATTTATGTCGTAAAGTCAATAACAAACGAGATAATTCAATAATT